TTTTATTTATATTTATTTATTTGTTTGTTTGTTTGTTTTTCGAGACAGTGTTTCTCTTTGGCTTTGAAGCCTGTCCTGGAACTAGCTCTGTAGACCAAGCTGGTCTCGAACTCACAGAGATCCGCCTGCCTCTGCCTCCCGAGTGCTGGGATTAAAGGCATGCACCACCATCGTCCGGCCGCCAACTATCTTTTAAAGACGTACATTTTCAGCTTGTTTCCTGATTATTTGTTTTGTACTTTTCCCTCAGTTGAGGAATATTTGGGCTCAGAAATTCTTTAAGAAGAAAGACTGCCAGGCGATGGTGGCGCACGCCTTTCATCCCAGCACTCGGGAGGCAGAGGCAGGCGGATCTCTGTGAGTTCGAGACCAGCCTGGTCTACAAGAGCTAGTTCCAGGACAGGCTCCAACACCACAGGGAAACCCTGTCTCGAAAAAAACCAAAAAAAAGAACAAAGACTAAATTAGTTTCCAATACTATCAGTCCTTTATTTCTTTTGGGCAAAGGATGAGTTAAGATGAACTTCGATCAGCCTTTTATACCTTACTGTTATAAATGACATGTTCATGAGGCTGAAAAGAAGGCTCAGCTCTTAGAACATTGGTGACTCATCCAGAGAATCTTTGATACCCAGCACCCATAAGACAGCTCACAATGTCTGTTCCTCCAGTCACAGGAGAGTAGACACTGTCTTCTGGTCATCACTAGTACCTGAGATACACTTGCTACACTCACTGGTCAAACTCCTACATCTAAGTTGAATTTCATTCCTTTTTAAGGTAACAGACACATAAAGAAAACCTATTTAAAATATAGAATCAAATACACATCTGTCTTTTCAGTATTTGCCCATTTTGTACCCTAAGAGGCCAGAAGAATGCACCCGATCTCCAGGACCTCCAATTACAGGGAGTTCTATCCAATCAGATATGGTGCTATGAGTCAAACCTGGGTACCCAAGAGGAGCAGTACTCCTGAGACAACTCTCCAGGTCCCACATGTGTCATTATAATTCTTAAGGTAGAGGAGTCACATTGTTCCTTCTGTCTCTTATCACTTGAAGGATAAAGTCCACTATAGATGGTTGTCAAAGATTCAATGGAAGGAATGTGAATGGAATTTGTATATTGCTTCTTATTTTCATTGTTAAGAGACTTCTCTTTATGTGAGGGAATATTTAAAATGTTGGTTGAAATCAGTCTGACTCCAGGCAGATTTTATTAGGAAAACTTCCATAATTTGGGAGTCTTTGTCTTTTGTGATGTTTTTGAGATAGGATATGTCCACATAGCCATTGATGCCAGGTATGCATTATGTGGAACAAGCTGGCATCAAACTCACTGAGATTGGACCCACCCACACTCCTGTGTTCTGTGATTAGAGCCATGCACCTCTATGTTGAGCTGAAATGTTTGTAAAGGACTTATTGAGTAGAAAAAAAAACACATAATGAAAGACTTAAAAGGGAACATCATTGTTTTGATAAATAACAATATTTCTTCAAATTGTATTATTTAAATGGCCAAATAATTTCATATGTTCAAAATAATGAGTCATTGTTATTGCATTGTCAATTCCATCCATTTAAAAATGTTTGAAGTGTGCTTTTGTGACTACACCTGCGACATGATGTGCATGTAGCACAGATAGGAAAACTAACAGGGGTCTATGATCTACGTCCACGTTGTGAGTTTTAGTCCTTAAACCTTGGGAGTCATTTGACTGCAAATACACTGAAAGAAACTTCTTTTGGTTTAAAAATTATTTGTGAATGAGATGATGTAGGAGTGTGTATAAGTAACTGATGAAGTCAACAAATATGAAAAAATTCGTAAGAGTATTAGGGTAAACAAGATATAGAAGCCAGGTTATCAGACTTAGAGGCAATGAACTTTAATAAATGATGCAATTTTCTGGCATGTAATTTTGGTTTTGAGAAAGTATAAATACATGTCTTGTTCTCAGAATGAAGAAATTAAAAAAATCTGTGCTGGTAAGAATATTTTCACATGCATAGCAGATTGACTATTCAAATTGTCCCATGGTCCTCTCTTGTTGTATGAAATTGCATTTACAATTTGAAAAGAAAATAAGACTCTACTGTTGTAATATTTCTTCTAATTGAATTTGAGCACCAATGAGATGACTCAGTGGGAAAGGACTCTTATGGGCAAGACTAGAATCCCAACCTCGATTACATGTTGAATTTTTCAGGAAAATGGATGGAGCGAGAAAACATCATTTTGAGAGAGCTAACCCAGACACAGAAGACAATTATCACATGTAGTCAGTCATTAAGTGGATTTTAGTCATAAAGCAAAGAAACCCAGCCTACAAATCACAGTCCCAGAGAACTTAGACAACATGAGGACACTAAAGAGACATACAAAGTTCTAATATACATGTGAATTAGAAAAAGACAAGATCTCCCGAGTAAATTGGGAGGATGGGACCTTGTGAGAGTACTGAAGGGAAGGGAAGAGGCAGGAGGGGAGCAGCAAAAAAATGTAGAGCTCAATAAAGATCAAAAAAATTTACAAGAAAAGAACATTAAGTTATGGTGTCAGATAAACAGATGATTGCTGATTAGACTACGTTATTACATCTATAAAACATGAATGAAAATACTTCTTTAAATACACATAAGGTATTTAACATTTCTTATTATTTATTTTATCAGTCATTTTAATGTGAATACTGTCAAATTCTGTTGAAAAACCACATACATTTGGAGTTCATCATCGACCCTTGGACTTGTATACAGGGGGCAGACATATGAGCATCATGAATTCAAAATAATCCCTGAATTTTTCCTGACATCCAAGCTAGGATTAATAACAAACAAAAGCTGAAGGGAATTTCTGAAAAGATAAAAATCTAAACCAGAAACAACCCAAAACATTTACTCAAAAAGTATGTTCCCACATGGCCTGACACTTCAATAACCAATGGGAAACAAGTATGATGGGTTTACCATTCTATACATTATAGCAAAAAAATACCCATCACTTGGTAAAGGCACAAAAAAAGATGAACAAAATCCATAGAAGTAATATAAAGACTACAAAATAGAATTCACTAAATGGATTTGCCACACATATAGCTCACTTTAGTACATACTTCAAATATTTCAATGTAGAAACCATAATGCAATGATCTCCACCAGTCTTGATTAAACATGGTATGTAATTTACTTCCCTCAAGGTTATGATAAAAATTTTTACTTAAAGCTAGAGAAAACTGTGATTTCTAAAGAAATTAACCAATTGTTGTCATGAATTGAACTTTCTTTTTTCTAAGAGTGTGTTCCTATTTCCAGACTTCAAAAAGATATAAATAGACTAAAAATATATGAGGCACTAGAGTCATGCCTAGGTGAGAACTAATGTCAGATGTTTGACAGCTTCCTGTAATTTCTTCTGCAATAATATCCAAGGTATTATCTTTATGTGGATACAGAATGCACATTCAAATACACACAAATACACACACATACATCACATAACTACAATGAACAAAACTTTTAAGACAGTTTTTCACTCATGAAAACATTTCTCCTGTAAACATTCATTCATTTCTGTAAAAGAGGAGCTGAGAGTCATCGTACAGCTTACTTACACAATGAATTGGTTCATGTAAAGAAAAAGCAAACTTAGACTTGAAGTAAAAGAAATTAATTCTTCTAAGAAAGCTTTCCAGGCCGGGCAGTGGTGGTGCACAACATTAATCCCAGCACTTGGGAGGCAGAGGCTTTTCTAGGACAGGCCCCAAAGCTACAGAGAAACCCAGTCTCAAAAAACAGAAGAAAAAAAAACAAAAACAAAAAAAGAAGAAAGTTTCCCAGTAGAAATATCTGGTTCTGATCTCCTCTACTCTCAAGGGAATATTTCATAATATATGTCCAATTACTCTGTCATCTTCTGAACTAAGTTCCCAAACAGAGGCATCAATTGTATCTTGGCTCAACTCCAGGAGTTTCTGAAACATTCCAGTAAAAGAGGTATTCACATAAATCTTGAATCAGATTTATTTGAGAAGGAAGAAAACATGAGTATGAATACCTCTGCAAAGTGTGGAAAGGGACAGCTGCATGCTTAATGAGCATAAGGCTCAAATAGGACTTCTTAATAACCGAGAGCAAAGGAGATTTTGATGGTGGGAATTTGCTGGATTTCAATACCTGATCCTGAAAAAGCTCCGGGATGGGCTTGATTTTATGCCGAGGGATTCATTGCTTTTGTGCGCAAGGACAAGGGTAGAGTTTGTTTTTATGGATCTGATTTGAGAGCCAAATTGTGTTTCTTTACTGGCTCCTTTTAACGTTGGCTGTTTTCAGAGAGATGTTGTTTCTTTAACTACTTCTAGATTCAGAGACAAGGTACTTTCTTTTGGCTCTGGTTTCAGGACCAATGTATGTTTCTTTAAATACCCTTTCTCCAACCAATAATGCTTCATAAAATGTTTGTCCATTAGTTTGCTACTTCAAACTAAAATAATAAGAGGTATCATGATGCTTGAACAAATTGTTGACACTATAAAATTCTTTTCTATACAATAACTGTTTTTGTTTAAAGAATAATTTACAATAAGCCCTCAGTTTTTTCCTCAGGTCCAAAGATTATGGTAATATGCACCACAAACTTAATCAGATTGATTACACACAAAAAGTCTTACTCCTATATGAAGCACAAATCATTCTGACACTGATTTTCATAGAGTATCACTACAGTATGATTTTTCTCATGTTTTTAAAGAACACACATATTAAACTCAGGGTTTCTCTATAAGATGTCTTGTTTTACATATTTGGAGATGATTGGAAAAAAGGATTCAGGACAGATTTCATTCACATGTATCTCTCCAGTATGTGTTCTTTTATGCAATTGAAGATGATTGTGACATGCAAGTCCTTACCACATTGATGGCATTTATAGGGTTTCTCTCCAGTATGGGTTCTTTTATGATTTTGAAGAGCACAGTTGTGAGCAAAGACCTTACTTCATTGATTACATTTAAAGGATTTCACTCCAGTATGTGTTCTTTTATGCCTTTGAAGATGACTGTGTTGAGCAAAGGCCTTACCACACTGATTACATTCATAGGGTTTTTCTCCAGTATGTGTTCTTTTATGTTTTTGAAGATGACTAAGATAAGCAAAGGCCTTACCACACTGATTACATTCATAGGGTTTCTCACCAGTATGTGTTTTTTCATGGTATTGAAGGTGACTATGATGGGCAAAGGCCTTACCACACTGAATACATACATAGGGGTTCTCTCCAGTATGTGTTCTTTTATGCCTTTTAAGAGTACCACGTTGAGCAAAGGCCTTACCACACTGATTACATTCATAGGGTTTCTCCCCAGTATGTGTTCTTTTATGCATTTGAAGAGTACCACGGTGAGCAAAGGCCTTACCACACTGATGACATTCATAGGGTTTCTCTCCAGTATGTGTTCTTTTATGACTTTGAAGAGTACTAGGTCGAGCAAAGGCCTTACCACACTGATTACATTCATAGGGTTTCTCTCCAGTGTGTGTTCTTTTATGCCTTTGAAGATGACTGTGTTGAGCAAAGGCCTTACCACACTGATTACATTCATAGGGTTTCTCACCAGTATGTGTTTTTTCATGGTATTGAAGGTGACTATGATGGGCAAAGGCCTTACCACACTGAATACATACATAGGGGTTCTCTCCAGTATGTGTTCTTTTATGCCTTTGAAGAGTACTAGGTCGAGCAAAGGCCTTACCACACTGATTACATTCATAGGGTTTCTCCCCAGTATGTGTTCTTTTATGCATTTGAAGAGTACCACGGTGAGCAAAGGCCTTACCACACTGATGACATTCATAGGGTTTCTCTCCAGTATGTGTTCTTTTATGACTTTGAAGAGTACTAGGTCGAGCAAAGGCCTTACCACACTGATTACATTCATAGGGTTTCTCTCCAGTGTGTGTTCTTTTATGCGTTTGAAGATGACTGTGTTGAGCAAAGGCCTTACCACACTGATTACATTCATAGGGTTTCTCTCCAGAATGTGTTCTTTTATGCTCTTGAAGATTACTAAGATATGCAAAGGCCTTACCACACTGATTACATTCATAGGGTTTCTCTCCAGTATGTGTTCTTTTATGGTATTGAAGGTGACGATGATGTGCAAAGGCCTTACCACACTGACTACATTTATAGGGTTTCTCTCCAGTATGTGTTCTTTTATGCATTTGAAGACTACCATGTTGAGCAAAGGCCTTACCACACTGATTACATTCATAGGGTTTCTCTCCAGTATGTGTTCTTTTATGCATTTGAAGAGTACTAGGTCGAGCAAAGGCCTTACCACACTGATGACATTCACAGGGTTTCTCTCCAGTATGTGTTCTTTTATGACTTTGAAGAGTACTAGGTCGAGCAAAGGCCTTACCACACTGATTACATTCATAGGGTTTCTCTCCAGAATGTGTTCTTTCATGCAATTGAAGGTAATCCAGATGTGCAAAGTATTTACCACACTGACTAAATTCATAAGGCTTCTCTCCATTATGTGCTCTTTTATGCATTTGAAGATTACTTTTCTGAGCAAAGGCCTTACCACACTGATTACATTCATAGGGTTTCTCTCCAGTACGTGTTCTTTTATGTGTTTGAAGATTATCCTGACATGCAAAGCATTTACCACATTGAAAACATTCATAGGGTTTCTCTCTAGTATGTGTTCTTTTATTCTTTTGAAGATGACTGTGATCAGCAAAGGCCTTACCAAGCGCATTAAATTTATATGATTTTTCTTCATTATGTGTTCTTTTATGACTTTGATGAGTTTCATAATGAACACAGTCTTTACCATCTTGACTATATTCATAGGGTTTCTCTCCAGTGGGTGTTCTTTCATGCATTTGATGATGACTGTGATAATCAAAGGCTTTACCACATTGCTTAATTTCACAGCATTTTTCTCTGGTATGTGTTTTTTCATTCCTTAGAAGGTGAGTGTCATAAGACAAGGTTTTAGCATAGTGAGAACATACTGAAAATTTCTCTCCAATTTGATTTCTTTCAATCCTGCAAGGATAATTTACACATGTAAAAGCTTTACCACATTCAATATACTGTTGAACCTCAGATCTGTATGAATTAATTTCATAATTTGTTCCAGTTGTAAAAATGAATCAAATATTAATGTCTTATAACTTCATTTAAAATCATGTTTTCTTCTTTCATTAGGAAAAATATTTGTGATGATAATTCCTTTGTGTCATGGTTTACCATTTCATCTATACCTATCTCTATATTTTTCTATGATTTTTTCACATTTTTTAAAAGAAATGCATACACTGAGTGCCTTACGATCTTTACTGCATTCATAAATTTTACTGTGAATCCTTATACATTGACTAAGTGAACTAAGACACTAAGAAGTATTGGCAGACTTAGAACTCATGGGGCTTTTTTTTTAATGTGAAGTTGTTTATGTATTAACAATGATGGTAAAATACCAATTACTGTATACTTGCACTTAATTGAACAAGTATACTCTCCATGGGAACTACAGTTTATCTTCTAATTGTTCTTAATGAGTCGTATGCTACATCTTTCCATATCCATATTCTCATATGCTTGTATCAAGAGTTCACATATGATATACATAGTAAGGAAGAATAGTAAATAAAAGATTTCCACATTGAATCCTCATGGTTTCACTTGCTGTTCCTCATAGACTTGTGGTATAGATATTAAGGTTTCTCCACAACAACTGCCCATTGACCCTTGACTCTAACTGCCACTTTCACTAAACTTAACAAGTCACAAAAAGTCTATGAGTAATCCAAGTCTTACCATGAGCTATTGATTTAGGAGAAAGTTTGCAGCTACACTCATCACTGAAATGTGTATAAAGTTATTGTCATAAGTAGCAAGAAAGAAATGGACTGGCAGATCTACTACATAGCCCTCACGTTGCTATGATTCAAATGGTGATTATCTGTTTAGTCATTGCTTCCTTGACTTTTTCTTTTTCTTTTTTTTTAGTTTTTTTCGAAACACGGTTTCTCTGTGGTTTTGGAGCCCATCCTGGAACTAGCTCTGTAGACCAGGCTGGTCTCAAACTCCCAGAGATCCGCCTGCCTCTGCCTCCCGAGTGCTGTTGACGTTTTCTTAAATGAATGCCTTGCACATGCAATTCACCTATGAGAAATTGAGGAATATGGATTTGTGAGAATTTAATAACCATCAATGCATTTAAAGCTGTGCTTATTTACAATGCTGCTTTTGATTCATTGTTCCAGGACATATTAGAAACTCATCAGAGGCACATTGTTATAAACTTGCACAGGAAAATTACCTTGTAGGTCTTCTAGAGCATTGACTATGTTCTTCAGTGTTACAGACCTCCAAAATGTACCCTGAAATACAGTACCAGAATATGTATGTTATATTATTTAATATTGTACAACAATTAAGTCATTCTCTTTTTTTAATTATTATTTTTTTTTTTTTGTTTTTCGAGACAGGGTTTCTCTGTGGTTTTGAAGTCTGTCCTGGAACTAGCTCTTGTAGACCAGGCTGGTCTCGAACTCACAGAGATCCACCTGCCTCTGCCTCCAGAGTGCTGGTATTAAAGGCGTGTGCCACCACTGCCCAGCTAGCTCATTATCTTAAGTGCACCTAAGAACTATGATTGTGTTACTCATCTCATTTTCTTCTTTCTAAATCAAATTACAGAACAACATTATAAGGCAAGGAAAGGTTGTCTCCATATTTTGAAACATGAAGGAAATTCATTTTTACCTGTAGTAGTGAGGTTCCTGAAGGTCTCCAGCATCACATCTTTGTAGAGATTTTTCTGGGAAGGACTCAGCAAATCCCACTCTTCCTGAGTGAAGTTGATATGTAGATCATCATAGGTCACTGCCTTCAAAAATATACCATACGTGTGTACATGTAAGCATGACAGTGACATCATTGGAAATGCATACTTCTTTGAAAGTACAGTTGTATGATTCTGGTGCTCCCCATTCTTATTCTGTGATATAGTCAGTTACTTTAGAAGTAAATTGAAAATTAGAGTCAATTCTGTCATTTCTATACAATCTGAATGGGATTTCACCTTATAAGAACAATATCTATTAAGAGGGTGAGACAAGAAAAAAGATCAACAGTAAATTGTATGCATGAGAAAATTGTATGAAAAATTCCTCATTATAGAAAGAAAAAAAGATACACAAATGGGTGTATTGGTTTATTGTGCCTTTAACCACAACGCTCAGAAAACAGAGGTGGGTATATTTGTCTCTGAGTTGAATGCCAGTCAAGTCAATGCAATCAGGTCCAGGAAAAGTGGCAGTACACATTAAGACTCTGTCTCCATTGCAAACCTCAATAAAACAAACAATGGGATAGAAAAACTAACAGGCTTTTATTGAAGTTTCTACAAAGAGTTGTTTTCACTCCAGTTCTGTAGTCTTCTTCCAGACCCTGAAGTACCCTAATATAAACTTCAATACCAATAACATTTTGTAGAAAAAGAACTTCCTGTATAAAACAGTTAAAAGTGGACACATGAAAACAGTAGAAATATATATGTTGGTCATAAATAATCAACACAGACCTGGAGAGGGGGCAGATTAATTCAGCACTCTTGCTGATCTGGAATGGAGATGGACAAATTTGCCTGTACTTACATGGGGATTATAACTATCCATTTTCCAGGGTAAGGATTTCTGATATTCTTTGATCACTTTCATGGTACATATCCATGCAGGCATATAAAACAGTCATATTGATTTAAAAAAATCAAAGCAAGCATAACAAGCAAGAAGATGTTCATACAGCTGCAATTTAATGACTCAAAATACTCAGGCAGTATTAATGCTATCAATCCATGGGATGGTATCCTGGGAATCAGAGAGATACCCTCTGTCAAATTTTAAAATTCAAGATAAGCATGAAGCTCAGCACAGCAGCATATACTTGACATAAAAAATACCTGCATTCCAGGGCCATCATCCAATAACATCACAACAAATAGAGCGAGGAATGATGCCTCCCTTTACTTTCAGGAATTTAGAGCCACACAATGGCTCAGATAAAACAGCAGGTTACCAAACACTTGAGCACTGAATAAGAACTCTTTCTGCTATATCTTATGTGATTTAGAGATTGAGCCCATAATGATGGTAAACACATTTCAGTATAAATAGGAATTTGGCTGATTAATGTCAAGCACAACACAGTAGATATAAATGTCAGGAAATTACTTTAGGGTATTGAAACTCATAGCATACAATGAGGAATTTTATCTAGAAAGGCTTCTCCTGGTAAGGATCCACAGAAAATTGAAATAAAACCAATAAGGAGAGAAAGTTCTTCAAATACATGATATTTTCTGGTGGGTTGTTTATTTAATCAAGTACATTCTGAACCCAGTCACTATTGGTCCATGGTCAACAAATGAAAGAAATCATTTCATCACTTAGAAGATTCACATTTAATGATCCTTAAAGAAGGACTCTTAGAAGAAATGCAATACTAGCTCAGAATTGAGAAATAGATGTTTATTTATTAGGGATAGACTCACAAATCAGAATCCTATGCTCAAACTGAGATCAGAAACCGAATCATGCAGCCAGAAAGAGGCTGGACTCATGCTCTATACTGGCCTATATAAGAGGCCATGCCTTAGTGGTCAGGAAACCACTGGCTGTAAGATTTCCTACAGCGCCTTCTCCTTTTGTTTAAATAAGAGAGTTCTAAGCCCAATACACAATTCTATACTATGAATAAGAACAATATATTCATTAATTATCCTATCCTAACTAGTTTATGTCTTGTATAAAAACTTAGCCAAGTCATGAGAGGAAAGTAACTTCAACTATCTAGTCTTCAACCCCATCGAAGATCCAAGAAGAGAAATAATATTACTTGAGTAAGCAGGAAGTGCAATCAAGCAACTTTCAAAATGTGTAACAAATTACAGAGACAACTGGCTCCCTGGGCAATCATCCAAAGTCTCATTTGCAATGTTGAAGCAACCAACTTTGGCAAAGACCTAGAATAACTGACCGACAACTTAAGGAGGTAGGAAAATTTTAAAAACCATCTTATCCTATCTTGGCAAGATTTAACAATCCTGCTTATCCATTTTGGATATCATGTATCTTGTCAGTAGTTGAGACATGAACATGTCTTTGCCTAAAGGCCAGTTTTGGCAAGAAGAAAACAAGCTCCAAGTGAAGTGACCGGTGTTCAACATTCTCTTGGAAATAGAATGATGCTACAAGGAGCAATTTTGTCTCACTTAAACATAATTCAAAGTTATTTAAATGCCATAATCTACAGCTCTTTGAAGTGGTTGAAGATTACCTATATATGAATATAATCTCTACGTATCTAAAGAACCTGATTATTCCAACTATAAAAACCATAAATGACTATTGATCTATAATTCTTAATACCTATAAACTTAAAAACTAAGGCTCATATTAGAATATTATACAAGGGGACTGGAGAGATGGCTCAGTGGTTAAGAGCATTGCCTGTTCTTCCAAAGGTCCTGGGTTCAATTCCCAGCAACCACATGGTGGTTCACAACCATCTGTAAAGAGGTCTGGTGCCCTCTTCTGGCCTGCAGGCATACACACAGACAGAATATTGTATACATAATAAATAAATAAATATTAGAATATTATACAATAAACAACTGAAACAAATGAGGACAATGACTTCAAAATGTAAACAATGTATAAGTATCTTGATCAGAGGTAGAAATGTATGTTGCAATATGATAAATATATATTAATCCATAAAAATGTTTTTAAGCAGAGGTAGAAGCATGAATGCATACAATATTCAATATAATATCACATTATATTAATATACAATAATCTATACCAATGCAATTGCCTATAAATAATAACTCACAATATTCACTCTATTTACTCACTATTATTATTAGTGTGAGTAAGCTCACACTAATCTATTATCCCATCCAATTTTCCCATTTTTTTTCAAAGTGATCCCTCAGCCTCTAAAATTTTCTCTCCATCTTGCAACCCTATACCAATTATAATCAACCCCTAAATGATATCCCTAATTCTGAGAACAAACTTTGTTGGGAGAGGAGACGTTGTCTTTTAGAATTACTTCCAGCTGTCATGGGGGGGAATTTTCTTTCTATGGGATCCTGTGAAAGTAAAATGATGGTTAAGTTCCAAGATTACTGTCTGGTATAATTGCAAATAGTCTCTGCATATTTGGTAAGGTTTTTCTGAGCTTCCTATTAGGAGGTCTGTCCAGAACATTGTAAAAAGTGCACCATTTCAGCTAACCAAGTTGGAACCACCTTGAGTAGCTGGTTCTCAAAACAGATCTTGTAGTAGCGCTATCATCATCATGACGTCATATCAACCAGGTTGAGTTGATGTTCTGGGGCCCCATCTTCTTCCTGGAAATTTCAAAATTCACTGCAGGAAAATTTATTGTTCATTGTGCAAACCTTCAACATTAATTATATAGACATATACAGACAAATATATTCAGTGACATGGACAATAGAGACAAAAATAGATATAAAGAAAAGTAAATTTTTTTTCTAAATTCTTTTTTATTTCTGTCCCATGCTCCTGACATGAGACAGAAACTCTGAATTTTTCTTTTAACATGTTTGGATTTATAGAGGGACAGAGCCAGTGTCCAACTCCAAAGCCAACTCTATATATTCATAAACATTTATCCACCTACAAAAGGCACCCAAGGTAATGATAGAAAAAAAGTGTAGATTATTGAATCTACTCTTAAAAAAATCAAGAGGCATATATATGTATGATGAGATAAAAGGGTAGATCATTAAAATTAATTTAAAAAGTAACTACTTATTTAAATATTTTACAATGATATAGATATGTATGCTTCCTTTTGATAGTAATTTGATATTATTTTTGTTAAAACATACTGACTATGATGTTATATATATATACTCAAGATATTTTACCTAAAACAACTAACTTAAACATGTAGTGAAAATGGTTGCAAGGCAGTGGTGGCGCACGCCTTTAATCCCAGCACTCTGGAGGCAGAGGCAGGCAGATCTCTGTGAGTTCGAGACCAGCCTGGTCTACAAGAGCTAGTTTCAGGACAGGCTCCAAAATCAGAGAGAAACCCTGTCTCGAAAAAGCAAAAAAAAAAAAAAAAAGAAAAGAAAAGAAAAGAAAATATTTAGTCCTTGAAAGTTATTATTATTAAAGTACTGCATATTAGTAGTTTGTTACTTATTACAGTTGAAAGTATAATCATATTAGGTATGTTTTAACATTATACAGAATTTTTTTTTTTAATTTATTTATTTATTAAGGATTTCTGCCTCGTCCCCACAACCGCTTCCCATTTCCTTCCCCTCCCCCGATCAATTCCCCCTCCCTCATCTGCTCTAAGAGCAATCAGGGTTCCCTGACCTGTGGGAAGCCCAAGGACTGCCCACCTCTATCCAGGTCTCGTAAGGTGAGCATCCAAACTGCCTAGGCTCCCACAAAGCCAGTACGTGCAGTAGGATCAGAAACCCACTGCAATTGTTCTTGAATTCTCAGTATTCCTCATTGTCCGCTATGTTCAGCTAGTCCGGATTTATCCCATGTTTTTTCAGACCTAGGCCAGCTGGCCTTGGTGAGATCCCAATAGAACATCCCCATTGTCTTAGTGTGTGGGTGCACCCCTCGTGGTCCTGAGTTCCTTGCTCGTGCTCCGTCTCCTTCTGCTCCTGATTTGGACCTTGAGATTTCTGTCCGGTGCTCCCGTGTGGGTCTCTGTCTCTGTCTCCTTTCATCGCCT